TCGATAATTACTTCAACATTGTACCATTTAACCATTGATAAAGGTTTTAATAGCACTATAATAGTGAAACGAATATATATATAAAAGAGACTAATATCTCCCGCATGCACATTATGTATAAACTATATAGTCTGTAACCAATATTCAAAGGCAATAATACTGTTTTCTCGTGAGAAAATAAATTTATTATTTTGTTGAGATAATATAGTTCAATTGATAATCCTTCATTTCATTATACAATATATATGCAATATCTATTTCAATCTCTATTTTAAAGAAAGAATTCTATATATACGATTAAATCCAATAAAATGATGTTATTCTTTTATATTATGAACAATATTAACATCAATCAAAATGATACTATTTTTAATTTTTTTTTAATTTATAACAAATAATCGGTTGCTTGACTATTATCAGATAAATATTTATTTGTATTAAATAATTTTAATTGGAATTAAATAAACTGTATTTGAACCAATAATAATTTCTGTATTTGAAACAAGTAAAACTTAATTGAAATCAATTAAAAATTATTTGATTTAAGGAAATATTTATTTTATTTTGATAATAACCAAGTAACCGATTATTTGAAATTAAAATACATTTTTTTCACTTTACCTACACGGAAAAAATTCTTTATTTGGAACAGCGATATGTTTCTCTGGAATAGTGAAAACTTTCGCTGTTTTAGTCAAACATATCGCTGTTCCAGGTAAAGATTTTTTACCAAGTAATAATGATAAATTGAAATTATTTTTCGAGACTTTAAATGAAATATATTAATATTCTTAATTGATAATTTAATTAAATTTTAGAACAAAGAAAAATAAAGAAAGAAAAAAATTTATTCCTCCTCACCGAGACTAGAACACACAACGTCTAGTCAATGAAGCGCGTGCTCTTTACCGCTAAGCTATTTTTCACATCGTCAGAGTAATATACATTTTTTACACCAAACGAAAACTTTGTTAAATATCATCGTTAAATGATGTAAAAAAATTGTTTTCTTAAAATAAAATCTGTGAATACAATTAAATAAATAAATAAAATAGTATAACAAAAAATTTGAAAATTAAAAAATTAAAATGATGAATTTCGAGAGTATGAAAAAAATAAGAAATAGAGGGAAAGGCCATTTTATGAGGAGAATAGAAAACGTTCATCGCGGGGTTGAAGCGCGCAGCAGGTATTGTCTCGACGATTATTTATAGGGAATTTTAAGCCCCCTAAGTGTGACTGCACAGTGTAATAATTAACAAAAGGTATTATAATCTACACCCTTGGACAGGGACGGCATTTCGTTTCGTTTATAAAGATGGCTGGATACTGGGTTCAAACTCTATATGGATATAAGGCACCTGGTACCCGCCTTCGATTGCCCCGGGGCTCATTTACTAATGACTACGTCCCTATATACATCACCGGTAATATGTTTTCTTTTAATATAAGTCGCAGACGTCACATACATTTATAAACGGTTTTTTTTTCGCACAACCCTTATATTTTCTCTACATTTATTTCGCCTCCCTATATCTCATGACTTTTACTAAAAAGAAGAATTTATTAAAAATATGAGACATTACAAAATATATATATATATATGTATACAAACTGAAAAAAAATCCGAAGTCGTTACATTCGAGGGCAACTATAAATGAGAGTATAATAAATATATTTTTGGCGCTGGCCTTTGTCGCGATAACCTCTTTCAAGTATGCTGACACAATTATTACTTTTTCTCGTTCAAGGGAATTTTTTACTTTCTCAGATAGAAATATTGGAACACCTCCGTTTGACAGAGGGTACAATTTATTTTTCACTGACAAAGTATTTTTAATTATGCTCCACTTCGCGGGTTTATTTATATATAAATGTAGGTATTTTTTTTAATGCATCTGGATGAAAATAATATTCAATTCTTTTAGATGTGTCATATACAATATTCACAATTCTGGAAAATGTAGACAATGTTTGAAGCAAAAATAATATATATTTTATAATTAAAAAAAATTGTCATATATTATTAAAGTCAATTATTACACTGAGAAAAATGTTTAGCAGACAAAATTTGGTTGGGCCAACAAAACTATTTGATTGAGTCAAACAAAAAATTTAGTTGAGTGTTTTTTGCTGGTATAATAAAAATGTTTTGGTTCGCTCAACCAAATTTTTTTGTTAGGTCAACAAAAATGATTGGTTGCTCGCAAGCCAAGTTTTTTTTGTAAAATTAAAAATTTTATTCTACCTTAATTTTGTTCATTTTATCTTTTTTTATTTATTTTATTATTTATTTATTATCAATTTAACGATTAATTTATTTTTATCCAATTCAAAATATTTGTAGACTTTGAAAAATGTCATCTTCGCCTGGGATCGAACCTCTGTTTTTAAATTTATTTTCAACCAAATAATGTTAATTTGTATTAAAATAATAACGTTGTTTTAAAACTAAATAATGAAAATATAATAATTATAAAATGAAAAGGCCGATACAAAACCAATAACGAAAGTATTTTATTTTAAAAAAAACTTGAATTAATAAAAGTTATTTTAACAAAAAAAAAAATTAATTTAAACTAAATAAAATATTTTTTACAAAAAAATGATATTTTCGGGACGCGCCGAAATAATTCTGTCAAATGTTTATTCGAACAAATATAAAAATTTGGTCCACAAGAAAAAAAAAATTCTATCTAATGAAATTTTATAACATAAAAATTCTATAATAAATTAATTTTTTAGGAATTATTCATGCGTCTCAATGAAAATTCGGTCAAATGAAATTTCTGTAACATAATAAATAATTCGAAGAAATAAAAATTCGGCTAAAAGTAAATTCTAGGTCAAGAAATTCTGTCAAGTAAAAATTCTAACTAATTAATTTTAGAACTTATGCATACGTGAATTATTTTCCACCGGAAAAAAAAGTTATTTTGAATCAAGGAAAGTTATTCAAATACGAAAAATGTACTCGAAACGTATATACTTATAAGTATTTTGTAAATATATAATTTTGCTGTGATAGCTGAATAAAACTGCAGACGTTTTTATTTCGTACAAATCTTGCAAGCTCTAATCCGACTATAATGGTTATGGGTGTAGTACATATATATGACAAAATATATATATATCGCGCGAGATATGGCATAAGGGGAAGAATGCGAAGCTTAAAATTTAGAGCGGTTTAAGTGGCATATGGTGGCACTTTAATTGACAGTCTGGTTAGGTCATCGCTTCGTTCAATCTTTGAAACACATGGAAGAATATGAACGAAACAGACGTGGAGATATCGAGGGCTTAGCACCACGTGGTGAATATTTTATGGGAACCGGAGCATTCCACAGAAAAACACTATGGAAATGGACCTCTAACTGCTTTTTTCCTATACTATATACACTTCATTTAATTTCTTAAACTTTATACTTTTTTTTATTTGTTTTATGACAAAAAAATTAAATATACACTCAGAGAAAAATTTGTTTGAAATAACGAAATTTTAGTAATTTTTTTTTTTAATTTTTATTTGATTTAAATAAAAAATTTTATCTACGCCAAATAAATGCGAATAAATGGGCTAGTAGGCTGTGAGACAAATATATACGTTTATTTAACTCAAATATATTATATTTGGTTCAAATAAAATATTTCTCTGGGTGCGTTGATTCAACTAAATTATTCAATTGAATACATTAACTTTAATTTGAATGAAACAAATGATTTATTGCATTTGACTAAATTTTAATCTTAATCGAAACAAAAAATTTTTTTCTTGCAAGTAAAAAATTTGTTTGATTCAAATATTAAATTATTTTATCAAGCATATATTTGGTTCATTTAAATCAATTTTTTGGTTAAGTATTTATTTTGTTCGAATGTCTTAATGTAATATTTTATACACAATTTTTAAACAATACACGCTTAATCAAAGACAATGATTTGGTTAAATTAAACAAACACCTTTAAATAAAATTTTTTTTCTGTTAACTAAATGAATTTTATACATTTATTAGAATGAACCAAAATTTTATTTGAATTAACTAAATTTTTTAATTGTGTCAAACAAAGTAAGATATAATTAAACTGTTAGGTTAAGTCAAATTAACTTTTCCTCTGAGTGCTACACTGAAAAAAAAATTGACTTGATTCAAATAATCGATTACTTGATTATTATCAAATTAATATTTAGTTATATTAAATAATTATAATTTGAGTCAATTAAATGGTATTTGTTTCAAATACAGAAATTATTGGTGCAAATACAATTTATTTAATTGAATTAAAAATTATTTGGTTCAAGTAAATATTATTTATTTGTTAATAAGTCAAGTAGCCAATTTTTTGAATCAAATAAATTTTTTTTCTGTTTATACAAATTATGAGTAAATATAAAATCTAGAAATTATAGATAGAAAAACTATCTTTTGTTAAAAATAAAATTACAAAATATATATATATATATATAAATGATAACAATAGTAAAATTTAATTTTCAAATTTATGGAACAAAACAAAAATTTGACTATAAAAGAACAAATGTTATGATTAAGTATACCTGCAACTCGTTTGCATACATATGACTATGTTACATAGTCATAAAATTCATAATTTACTTTGGTAATTAAGTAAAATTTTATGTTCTCTCTTGTAAATTTTCGTTATTTCTGAATAAACCGAATAAATGAGGTTTAATAATTGAAAGCATACGAGAATTGCAACTGAATATAAAGACCATTTCGTTACGTCCACAAAATTGTGATATATAATATATTTGAATTTATTATTTTAATGATCCAATTTTATTCGCTCATTAATTCATTGAAATCATTTCACATAAAAGATATTCTATACATATATAAAAATGAATAAATGAAATATCATTCAATTTAAAGTCAAATAAATATGATATAATATTGATTCCAATTTAGAAAAAGAACAAAAAAAGAAAAAAATTTCCTCGAGTTTAATATAAAAATAATTAAAAGTAATAATAAACTTACCATTATATCCCAATTTGATTAATGAATCATCTTGAGTGACCATGAAACAGATAAAAAATTTTACTGTTATAAAAATAGAGAGCAAAAGTATTATATTTGTCTATTAATCATTATTTATATGTTTAAATTATTATTATTAATTTTATTACCATTTTTTTATTAATTAAAAAATATATATTTAATTTTTAATAACAAAATTAAAACTATAAATTAATTTTAATTTATTTACCTACAATATGTATATATATATATATATATATATATTAAAAATAAAAACTGTCTTCTCACACAAGACAAAATATTTCTAGTAATGACACAGTTAAAAAATTTTAAGAATAAAAATAAGATTTATGTGAAAATCTTTCTTCTTTCGATAATCAAAACGAGCGTGTGTATATGTGTATAATGATTTTAAAAAAAATGAAAAAAAAAATGTAAATATTTGTACGAGTTTTTGACAGATGACTTGACACTTTGCAATTACGGGGTCAAAAGAGGTCGACCTAAGAACTCTTAATAGACACATTAGTCAGCAAAGTCAGACTGCTATTGCTGCTACACGTTAAAGTTAAACAGGCTATCTCATTTACGTCCGTTTGGAATGACCGGAAGTTCTACTTTGCTCTAGAAGTGTCGAAAACGAAACTCTCCCGTAATTTCAAAAACTTTCAATTTATTTACTGGAAATTCAATTACGTGAAATTGAGTTTCACCGTGGATAAATATATTTGAAACAAACCATAAAATAAATTTACTTTATACAATAGTTAATTTAAATAGGAACATAATTTTTTTTTTTGCAAATTGATTGTGAAATTTATTTTAAAAGTTTTTTTCGTTTTTAATATGAATAAACTATAAAAAATTTAATATTTTTCAAATTTTTAATAAAAACCCAGCACGGAATATTCAATAGACATTTCTGGAATATTCATTGGAATATTGGAAATATTCCAAAAATATTAAAATTTCCAACATTAAAAAAAAAAAATGAAAAAATATTAAAAATATTATGTTCAGTCAATTTCAATAAAATGTTCAGTCAGAGCAACCAAAATTTGGATGGGTCAATTAAAAAATTTTGTTGGTATTTAAACAACAAAACTATTTGTTTGAGTCAACCAAAAAATTTAGTTGAGTGTTTAATGTTGGCATATGAAAAATGTTTGGTTAACTCAACCAAATTTTTTTTGTTAGAGGTCAACAACAATGTTTGATTGATCAAACCAACAGTTTGTTTTTTGTAAAATTAAAAATTTGATTGTACAAAATGTGAGTTAAATATTCCAGGAATATTGATGGAATATTTCTTAATCACTATACACCCAGAGAAATATTTTATTTGAACCAAATATAATATGTTTGAATTAACTAAACGTATATATTTGTCTCACAGCCTACTAGCCCATTTATTTGACGTAAATAAAATTTTTTATTTGAATCAAATAAATATTTATTAGGCTCTGAGGCAAATAATACCATTTCTGTGAGTGTAATTAGTAAACAAAATATTACTAAATCTACATATTACTAAATATTACTATTTATTACTAAAAATTAGTGAACATTTATACTAATTCAAATTCAGAGTAATAGAACTGTAAAATAAAATATTTGTTGAAGAGAAAAAAAATACAAACACGGAAGAGAAAATATAATATAGAATGATTAACGTGTAGCGACAGGTCGAGTAATTGAAGAAAAGAAATTGTGTGGACTGAAATAGTGTATTTTTGCGCTCGCTTATATAATTCGTGTAAATTTTTTTTAGGGGAGTTCGCATGCAATATAACGGGGGGCCTAGAAAAGAAGCGGTACATATAAGCATATAGGGCCATTCGATGGCAGCTGTTCCACATTTTGAAGGATGGATTCTTCAGGCTTTGTCGTTGTGACAAAAGACCTTCTTTTACAAAAGAGTAAAAGACCGACCCAGCGAGTCTTTCACTGTCTCTCTCTCTCTCTCTCTCTCTCTCTCTCTCTCTCTCCTTCTCTCTCTCTCTCCTTCTCTCTCTCTCTCCTTCTCTCTTAGAAACATGGATAGTTTCGTACTTCTTGATGGTGTAACGACGCGAATATTTTCTCGTCTCGCATTTTAACCTCCCCGACTATTTCAATAAATTCACTAGAAATTTTTTATATCTATTTTTCTTCCTTATTTCATAAACATAAAATCTTCATCACTTTAACGAATATCATTCTTTTTTCTATCATTTGATTCAAATAATTGCTTACTTGACTATTATCAATTAAATATTTACTTGAACTAAATAATTTTTTTTTAAATTAAATAAACTGTATTTTAACCAATAATTTTTGTGTTTAAAACAAATAATCGAGTAACGAGAATTTTTTTTAGTGTAAAATATTTGTGTATTAAAAATTTGTTTAAATAAACTTTTATTTAATATTCCACACACACGTTTTAGAATTATAAAATTTGCTTTTACATATATACCTATATGTGCATATATAATATTTAATTCTTAAAATTACGTTTTCCTCGTTTAAATTCGTATGAATATTTTTTATATTTCGTAATGTAATGATGTTGATTTAAATTTTTTATTCGCCCTCTATTTACATTCGTCGACGTTCTAGAATAATTTAAATTTATCAGTGGAAATATTTATCGTATAAAAGTTATGTTTACTTTCAGAAAATTGAAAATGTAGCTGGAAAATCCTTTTTCACTATTTCAATTTTTGTACTAATTTTCCTAGGGAAACATTTTTGATTACTTTGTAGAAAATTAGATTTTTCTAGAATTTTTCATCATTTCATTTTTATTATCATAATTATTATTAATATATTGCATTTAATTATATTATACGATAATTATGATTGCATTTTTTAATAAAGAAATTGTTTTATATTTTTTTACAGGAATAAATCGCGTGGTCAATACTATTTTTATCAGAGTTTAATTTTACTTTTATATAAAGCAATGACGTTTTAATTTAACGATTTTCTTGTACGTATAATAATATATATATTGCGGGATAAAATAATACAATCATCAAAGTTTCATTTCGTTCAGGATTTCATTTAATTAAATTGAAGAAGTTAAACGATAATTGATGTTTTAAACATTAATATAGAAAATAATTGAGTTTCACTGTAATATAGAATAGAATTGTAAATTAATTAATAATTCATATAAATAAATTTTCAATTTAATTTCTGTTTAAAAAAGAAAAAAAATTACTTTAATAATTTAATTTTTTATATAGACAGCAGTAATTTAAAGGTATCAAATTGACACTGAAAATATCAAATTGTGATATCAATTTGATATTTTTAAATTAGTATGACAAAATAATTAGATAATATGTCTGATATGCAGCGCGCAATAAAAAAAAATTATAAAATTCGTTTTAATTACATTTTTTTTTTAAATGTCCATGAATATTTTGTTATTTTACAAAATATATGGTTCACATTTTTTTTTTAGATTTTTTGAAGTATAAAATTGTCATTTTATTATGTCATCGTTTTCAACATATATCCCAGTTTTATCTGTCTTTACAAAAGTTTCTTTCGTTCATCCGGTATTGACAGATATATATATATATATAATATATTTTTTTTTCGTCCCAGTTCTGCATACAGATAAGCTTTAGTTATGATCAGTGATATCTTTTTTTCAAATAGTTCTGTCAGCGACAGTTATATATACAGAAAACTGCCGAAAGTAGCAAAAATATATATTGGAAATGAAATTTCCCAAAAAGTTTTGAAACATCGGAAATAAAAGAGTCTAACGCAGATTATACTTTTTTTTCTCTCTCTCACCATTTTTTTTTTTTTTTTTTTATTTTTCTCTATTGTCTATTCATATCAAGGGGATTTCCCTCAAACTCTGTCTAGTTTTCCAACATATAAAATGCGTTTTATGTCCCAAACGTGACTGTACAATTAACTATACGTATAACGATAGAGAGAAGAACGAAGTTTGAAAAGTAGGTTATATTAATGGATCCAAACCGATTTAGCCGAGGGACTTTTGATTTATGCTGAAGTGAAGTGATGGCATACATATTCGATTAAAACTAAATTTCCTCTGTTAATAATAAAAATTTAATAATAATAAAAAAAAATATCAATTCTTCTCCCAAAGTTCGAATATGTAAAATAAAATAGAAATGTCGACTTTTGCTGAACCGAAGAACGTAGATTTTTTTTAAAATGTATTTTTACTGCATATTTAAAATTAATGTTCGATTTTCTGACAATGTTGATGCAGTAAATATTATTCATTTACTGAGAAAAATGTAAATTGATTAAACAATAAAATAAGGCATTATTTGGGCTAGTATGAAAAGTATTTTTTAATAAAATAAAATCTTTCTCTGAAAGTGTACTCAAATTGATATTATTATTATTTGAAATAATAAAAACTTACTTGTTGAGTAAAGAAACTCAGTCGAACGGCATCTTTTTTTTGTTTTTAATTGTAATAGCTCTATCACTTTTTTCTCGATATTTGCAGACAATGATTGTTTATTCCGCTTAAAAGATTTCCACAGCTCATTGACATCGTTCTGGATTTTCAACTCAGAATAATTTTCAGAATAACATTTTTTGTACGCATCGAAAAGTTTATTATACAACGACATATTTTATTCTTTCATAATTCACTCTTACAGACACTTGATAGATACCGGCTTTTCTTGTTGAAACGTGCACTCAGATATGCAAACAACAATGGCGACGAGTAACAAGATCGCGCCGACTCGTTGTACTTCGTGACAATTCGGTCCATTTAGGCGCCCTCTGTCATTTTGGTTAGAACTTCGAACTACCCGCGCAATTTTAAAAGAGGCGCATAAAAATTTAATTTCTATAAACTACGTAGTTGAGGTCGATCCCCCCCCTCCCCCCACGTAGACTAAAGTAGCATTTCCCCTCCCCTTAATAAGCTACGTAGTTTATGAACGCTCTCTTAAGGCTAAAAAAGAACTTGAATTAATTAGCTATGTATTTTTGATTAATTAAAGTTAATAAGTGTAGGCCGATTGTATAAAGAAAAATAATTGAATTTTATTATGCAAATAGAGAGGAATAATGAGGGTCTCTTTAAAATGAATAAAAAAATCGTGTGGTTAAAAAAAATTTTTCGTGGTTGATTATTGAAAAGGCAAAAGAATGGATCGTTGTTCAACACTATATATAGAAGGTGGAACATATTATACATATAGCGGAAATATCGAATTAACTGTGCCATGCCACTTCTCTCATAGAAATAGCCTATTATCGCTGGATTATTGTATTATATATACTTAAGAAGCTGCGAGCTTTATCGGATTGGTTGAAATTGAAAATATGCGGTCAATTTAATAAAGAAATGAGGAGCAAGTTTTCAAAACTTGATAAATCCATTTTTTAAAAAAAATGAGATATACATAGTTTCTATATATTCCGAATACGAGGAATATGATTATTTGTGTTTGGTTGGAAAAAAAATTTAATTCTACCAGAAATTTACGTTTTTAACGGTATATTTCTTCGAAAAAATTTTCTTTTCCTTGCACAAAAATATTCAACTTTTTTAACAAAACTGCATAAATCCCTGCAATAATTTCCTACAATTGATAAAAATGAAACAAAATTTGATAAATCCTTAAATCTATATTTTTTTGAAGCGCATTTATAATTATTATATATACAAATCTATGAAATTAAGTTTATGAAAATAGAAGATTATTTTTTAGATTTTAATATCGCGCAAAGATTTTGACGTTTTATTCGCTCGATTTCTTTATCACAGAGTTTAAAAGCCAGGTAAAAAAAATTATATTTTGTGTGAAGTGAATTACAAACGGATTTCTCTCAAAGAAACATGCATTTGTTTTAAAGCTTTTTGGTTATAGAAAGCGCTTAAAACATGTTGTTTACATTCAATGATAAAATTTAATGAATTGATTTGAAAATGGAATCGTTAATAAAAAATATTAACCAAGGATCGAGAAAGCGTAAACGTGTTAAGGTAGAAAAAAAGGATGATCAGATTTCAAGGTAATAATTCCAAAATTAGATAAAATATACTTTTGATTTCAGTAACCTAAACTGTAAAGTAATTTTGAATTTTTTTTTATTCGCAAAGTTTTATTTACTTAGTATAAATTTTTTATAAATAAAAATCTTAATTAAAAAATATTTTTGAGACAGTTTTGTAAATTTTTTAATTTTTTAGATATTCTGATCCTGATCCTGAATTCAAACATTGGAAACGACCATGCAAACACGACTCGAAAAGTTATGGCTGTATGAAAATCAAGTTCTCAGATATTAAAAGAATAAGAACCATTTTTTTCGAGAAACCTGATAGAAATATTCAGAATGTTAAATTGAATTCAATGATAGGAGTAGTTGATCCAGAGCGAAGAAAATGCAAAGATGAAAATTCATCGAAGAAAAAAAGGACGATTTCGATAAGTTTATATTTGAAAAATAAAAATGGAAAGCAGATACAAGTTTGTCAAAAATTGAATTGAAAGCCACTATTCGCGAAATAAATCTAAACGAATTTATTTACCGGCAAATTCATCTATATCCAAACTCCATTTTTGCTATAATCAGATTAATCCAGATTTACAAGTGAAGTATGATATGTTTCGAAAAATATTCGTCACAGACTTCAATATTGGATTTTCTTCACCTGCAAGTGATTCTTGCACTACTTGTACTCGATTGAAAAATTGTATTAAAGTCGAGACTGATCAAGCAAAGAAACTCAATTTAATGACTAATCAAAGAGTCCACAAACTGCGAGCATCAGCTTTTTACGAACTAACGAAGGAAAACCCAGATAATACATATTCCTTCTGTTTTGATCTGCAGCAAGTTCAACAATTGCCGAAAACTCCAATCCAAGAAGCTTTTTACTCTCGTCAGATTAGTTTCTACAATTTCTGCTGCGTGCCTATGGATACGAAAGATCCTACTTTTTTCACTTGGGATGAAAGTCAAGCAGGTCGAGGTTCCGTTGAGATAGGGTCAGCGTTATTGAATTATTTACAATCTCTTGATTTCGAAAAAATAAATCATCTTCGCCTTTTCTGTGATGGTTGTCCCGGACAAAATAAAAACTCTCACGTAGTTCATGTTTTGTTGAACTGGCTTCAAAACGACTCACCTGCTAACGTACTCGATATTACGATTGTATTTCCAGTTAGGGGACACAGTTTTCTTCCTGCGGATCGAGTATTTGGTAGAGTCGAAAAAGTGTTACGCAAGCATCCTACGATTACTCTTGCAAGCGAGTATGAAAAACTGCTTTCGGAAATCGGATGTGTAAAACCGCTTGGAGTGAAATGGGAACTATACGATATAAAGTCTCTTCTAAACATCTACAAAAAAGTTGAAGGAATATCAGAAATGAAGAGGATTGTAATTAAAAAGTTCCCCACAAAGGAGGAAAACGTTCGGTGTAAAGTCACCTGTTATCAATATTACAAATATGAACGAGAAACTGAAGTACCGAAAATTTTTTTAAAACGCGGAAAATCTGATGCGAACGTCGAGATGGATAAAATAAATTTAAATCACCCAATTTCTAAGGAAAAGCTAACGGACGTGGAAAATTTGCTAATTAAGCAATTCGGAGCAAATTGGAAACAATTACCGAATTTAGAATGGTATCGTACTCTCTTGAATCATCAGAACAACAATACTGCGACATTTTACGATGACGAGGAAAACGATGAAGTGTGTAATTGTTTAGATGAAGACTGCGGCTTCCATGTTTAGAAGGAACTCCAAAATAGAAGTTTATTTTATTGTATAATTACTAAAAGTTATAGACCGCAATATGTAGTTTAAAAGAAAAATTATTCATTGCAAAAAGAAATAAATATGTTCTTATCAAAGACTTTAATAATATTGAAGTAAATTTTTTGTTATCCTTGATATTTTAATTTGACTAATAAAACTGCATAAATAAATAATAAATAAACAAAATACATCTATTTTTACAAATTTTATACTTTAAATTTTATATTTTTTTCTGTTTTTGGTTTAAAAACTAAAAACATAACACATTCTCGCTTTTATTACGTGCGATAATGAGAATTATTTGTATTTATTAATAATTATTCTGTTCAATTGACAAATTAAATTTGTGCATAAACATTAATGAATCAACGTTTCAATGAACGATTAAAAAAAATAACATTCCCACTTTAAGGTTAAATTTAAAAATAACTGTCAGTAATAAAAATTTGTTCAACTCAATCCACTGAAACAAAACAGAATATATCCAAACCTATAAGAAATCAAAACTTAATAAATCCAGTGTCCTGAAACAAAACTAAATAAATTCATTTTTGTTTTTTAAATATTATCAATAATAAATAACATAAACATTTTTTATTTACCGTTTATTAAAATTGACGGTAGCATCTATACAAAGTATTTTTACTTTTTTTTTACCTCTACTGATTTTAAAAATACAACGTTTGTCGCTTTATCTCAAAATTACTTAAAATGGATTTATTAAGTTTTGAAAAATTGCTCCTCAAATATATTTTTGAGCACTTTCCTTTCATAGATATAAACGAGATTGTGCAAAAAAATTTCCTAATTGCAAAAAAAAAAATCTCCAATAAAAATGAACCTTTCTAATTAGAATTTTTTTTAGTAACATATTGACTATCAATTATTTTCACATCAATTTCCAAACTCATAATATAACTGATATATAACCACGAGAATCTGTAGAACATTGTTCTAACAAGTTTCAGATTGTTTTGAATTCTCGCAAAGCATTCTAGCCTATTCACGAGTTAGTCTGAATCAAGAATGTTACAAAGATAAAGAATTTCCTTTACATAAACCATATATGAAAATTTAATTGGATTTCTAATTCTAAAAACTTTATTATATATACTGCTGCGTTTCTCGAATTTTATTATTCCTTGCCGGTGATATTAGGTAGAAAAATGTTTTATATCTTGTGAATATAATCTAAATCTTCGATTAAAATAAAAATTTACAAAATTATAATGCTACAAAAAAGAAAATGGGACAAAAATTGCTTAAAGAATAGCTAAATATTTCTCATCCATTTGTACATTTGGTGGAATTTACATGCATTTTGCTGTTGACACGGCGCGTGTCGCGCCCACATAGAAATGCATATGCACATACTGATTCATATATATATATACTAATGCAGATTTACGTATACTAATCTACACTAATACACTATATTTCAGACATGTGGACTAACACATATAAACTATAATTCAGACACGTCAATACTAATTTAAATGCGCGGACAAATTGTAGATGAACATACGACATACAAGTGTATTTACTAATATGCAATATGGTTCAATTGTATCAGTATAAGTGTACATATATGCATATAAATGCATTCTATCCTAGAAACAATTGCTTATTAAATACACAATTACTAATGCAATAGCCGCAGAAAGAGAATAATACATTCATGAGATAATTGTCATTCTTACTGAAAGGAAAACGCATAAATATATACTTTCTGTCAACAGTGAACGCAGAGTTAAAGCATAACCTCTAAATGTTGGCTTCCTCATTAAAATGCCAAACATTCACGCCTGATATTACTCGGCCAACTTACTATACATATAAGCTTCCTAATTCGGCATTTCCGTGACTTAACTATATACATACATACTTTCTAGCACGCAATGCACGCATCTCTGTTTCTTTTGCATGCGCAGAACCCTCTTGTACAATATAATATGTACTATATAAATACACTTGCACTAAAAGTATAATCGTTCAATGCAATGGTTAGAGTTAAATACATGATTGCGTTCAACCAGTTAGGAACCCTTTTCTGAACACGTTAATTTATAGAATCGCGTT